TGGCTTCTACCTGGACTCTTCAGCCTTCTGCCACAGATTCTATAGCGTGACTATAGGCAGGAGGGGTCATCTGTATCAGAAGTGGGGAGTAACATGGCCAGGATGAGGGGACCGCTGGTGGAGATAGTGATTATAGGCTCTTATATGAGAATTAAGTGAACTTCTCGTGGAACGAGAAGGAATGTGGTTAAATCAAAGGTGAACCACAGCTACAAAAGCCATGTCATAATCTCTTGAAGCATTGTCACCTGCCTCAGGAGTGTGAGAGAAACCGGAAGGCCTGTTTCTGCTAGCCATCACTGAGGGAACAAGATGGGGATCCCATAGACGTGCCATCCTAACATGGGCACAAGATTTTGAGAGCATAAGAAAAAAGGCAGGAAACCCCAAGGGAAGAAGTGGCTCACCAATGAGAATCAAGGTAGGTTGGTGTTAGATGGAGGCTAGTAATGGTAACAGCAGGAACAAGAGCAAGTGGAGAGGAGGGACGAGAAAATGTGGAAAGGTGGCTCGTTGGTGGGGGGAGCTCAAACTGGGGGTGGTCCCCAGAAGCTACTCACCCCACTGATCCAAGTTATGACACTTAAATGCTACATTTTTTTAATGCTGTTCAGAGAAAAAGATGGAGAAAAACAGGCCCTTACTGCAGGCACAAAGAGGGGTGTAGTTCCCCTCTTAACTCCTTTTATTAGACCAGATTGGGGTAGAGTTTGGGTAGGCAGGCATATTAGCAGCTCACTGAGGGAGTGTTGATGCACACACAAAGGAAAGAGGAAGTTTGTTTTGAGGTGAGAGAAGAAAGAGGAAACTGATATGCTATTGTCTGGTCCTTTATCATGTTGGACCACTGCCATGATGACTTTGCAAGTTTATATGAGCAGAAAACTCAGCAAAAAAGAGCTATATTCAACATAAACAATCAATTACATTCCTCAGCATACATTGGCATTTCCAGAAATAATGACACAATTGAATAAACTATCATTTTTCAGCTGTTACATATAGCTTAACATAGCCAATAACATTTACTTAAGGACAAATAAAAGTACATACCTGAAATTTTCAACAAGGAAAGTATATGCACATCTTTAAAACTGGAACACTGACCTTCATTGTCTCATAAAACCAGTCTTATTCTGAAAAACAAAGATTTCTTTTACTTTCGAGTTATTGCTTAGACACTCAGATAACGTACTCTAATAAATTATTTTCTCATTTTACCTTTTAACACTGTTAGAATCTTTATGTCATTTTTATAAACTGAAAGAGAAGGAAAAAAAAGCTTAACGTGGTGTAATAAAAATACTAAACACTAAAAAATTCAGAAATGAGAGGAGTGGCAAAAAAAAAAAAAAAATTCAGAAATGAAAGTCAGATGCAGTGGTACATCCATAGGAAGTAAGGCAGAACTGCCTGGCCCAGACATTCAAGGCAAGGCTGAGGAATAGTCAAGATCACACCTCAAGAAAACAAAAACAGGGCCAGGGATTTTGCTCAGTGGCATGTGTGCCTGCATGGCAAAGGCAAGGCCATGAGTTTGATCCCTAGTACCAAAAACCAAAACAACAACAACAAATCAGAGAAGGGAACCAATGAAATGGGAAAATTGGTAAAAGATACATAAAAGAAAACAAAACCATAAAGATGTCCTGATTTTGAGCTTTTATGAAAAGTGCCATAGATTTTATGCTATACAAAATCAGTTTCATTAGACTCACCAAAATAGGTACAAAGATAACATTCAATGCTAACTTCTCTCACTTATGTCTATGACATGGTGCAGTACCATTCACTTAACCATTTATAGCAGGCTTCCATTACAATATCATAAAATTCTTTAAAAGGGGTAACAAAAGTTTTGAGAAAATTATGTTGATGCAGTCTTAACAGGTTTTAAAAGTCTATATTGTGTTGAATAACTATTATTGAGTATTAAATATTTTTAAATGTGAAAGTTAAGAATGTGTGGAATACAATTAAATTTCAGAAAACTACAGTTGAACATGTAAGGTGGCTTATTATTTCATACACAGAATTTTGTATACAAATATTTACAGAGCACCTCACGTAGAGGAACTTAACAATGAATAAAACTAGTTGCAGCCTTCTAGTAATAGTCTCAAACTGGGGAAATCACATAAGGACAGGAAATTTTAGGGAAGGCTCCAGTTATATTAAACCACATCATTAAAAATAACTCATTTTTGGTGTTCCTTTAACATCACTTTCTGTGTATTTCACTGTACAAATACAACCATTTCAAAGTGAAAAAGTAAGTAGTTCTAAGAAATCATTAAGTTCTATGAAAAATTTTCAAATTTACTGTACTGTACACGTAACTTAACGATTATGGCAGTCCTATCTATGCAGCCTGGCCAACACAGTGAAACATCATCTTTTTTTTTTTTTTGGTCTTTTTCCTTTTTACCGGTACCAGGGATCGAACTCACGACTACCTGCTTGCAGGGCAGGCGCTTATGCCACTGAGCTAAATCCCCAGCCCCTAAACATCATCTTTTAAAAAAAGAAAAAAAATTGTGTTAATTCTTCTTGAATAAAGAGAAATTCTTTAAAGTTCAAAAATAATGGTAGAAAAAAATTAAAACCAGAAAACCTGAAAAAAAAAAAAAAAACCCCACAAAAAACAAAAGGAAAAAAGAAAGCTGGGCACCATGACTCACACTCTGGGAGATTCAGGTTAGATGATCACAAACTTTTAGCCCAACTGAGGCAACATGACCCTGTCTCAAAACAGGAGGAAAAAAACAGAAACAAAAACCTCAAACAAATACAGTGCACTAAAAGGAAAAGCTCTCTAATGGACAACTATATATGCATTCAAACTCTGAAAAGTATCATTTTAGCATTGTATTGCTACTTCTGTACTTCTGGGGTTTATTACAAAAGGATTAAGTAGGGATGTGAAGAAGTATCTAGATGCCTAGAACACTGAAAGAGCCGCTGATGTTAGTTTGTAGACACAGTATTTTGCAAAGTATGTCTAAAGGATGTTCACTGCCTATTACTGCCATTATTAAAAAAAAACCAAACAACTCTTATAAAATACGGTACAACTATTCTATACAGCACTATGAAGGCATGAAAAATGCTTTATGAACAACACATTTCTGGTGTTTACCCTGTAATGGAAAGAACAGGGAAAAATGAGTACATTCTAAAAAACAAAACCATATTTTAAAAAAGGCCTTTTGTATACTGTTATTACATAGTTGGATCGCGTGCGCTGGACAGTGCAATTATGTATGATTACCATCTGGGAAGTTAAGCTGTAGTATGCTATTTTATAATTTCATCATTTAAAACTTTGCTTCACTCAGAAACTCTGTTACTGTTAAGACTTCTTTCTGTATGAGTAATTTTTTTTTAACCTGGGGTACAACTGTGAAACCACTCATAGCATTTCATGTTAAAAACACTAAACGCTTAAAGTTTAGAAACGAAGCTGGGTGTGATGGCACCCCCCCCCATTATAATCCTAGCACTCCAGAGACTGAGGCAGTAGGATCTCCACGAGTTCGAGGCCAACCTGGGTCATATACAAAATAAAACCAAAGTTATGAATTTCATTCTAGTAAGTCGTACCAAAAAGCTAATTAAGCAGATTCATTTGAACCCTGACCAACCAGAACATCTTACAATTACATTCTTCCACCCTAGTGTTGGTCCACTAAAAACTTCCTAGTAGTCTCCTCTAATACTAGAAATTCTGAGACATTAGTACTAACCTGTTTGAGATACTGCCACTAGGATGTCCTTTCTTCTTCAGTACAACTGAAAAACACCACAAAAAATTACTAAATCACGCTATTGTTTAAGCCCACGAACTACGGCAGGATTTAAAACACCTACTCAGAAGTGACTAATTCATCTCTTACAAATTCCGGCGCGCATTTCATGTTCGAAATTATTGCACTAATGACTAAAAAACTCCCTCTGCTTTCAAGGTAACTTCTTGCTCGGCAAAGTCTGTCTGTGGTGCCTGTCAACAGCATTTCACATCTCACTTCAGTCTTTAAAACAATTAACTTTCGATAACCAAGTGCACTATTTCCACCGCGAGCCCCGAGAGCAGCGCGGCGGGTCCCGCCCTTCCCAGCCCGGCCGCTCCCGGCCTCCACCACCAAGGCCCCAGCGCCGCCGCCGTGCGGGCGGGGAAACGGCCGCTGCCCACCGCGGCAACCATACAAACTTTGAGCTCAAAGCGGAGAGGAAGCCTCGCCCCTTCCATCCCGCCCCCATCCCCACCCCACCGCCGAGAAACTTTCTTTACCATGGCTGCCGGCGGCGCCTTCACTTCCGGTGCCGAAGCCTCCAGAGCTGCGCCATCCCCCAACCCCCCCCCCCGACAGTCGAAGGACCATAGCTTCCATCCGACCTTTTCGACAGCTCTGCGACTCCCCTAAACTTCACGTGATGCTGTACTGAAGCGAACGGTAGGTCGGATCCGCACTAAAATAGATCTACCGGACAACGACTCCGCTTCCTTCACGCCAGAAACATAAAATGCGATAGAGCTGCGGCCAGCACTGCCGGGACAAAATGGCGCCGAGAAGCCGCCTTAGCGCAGGCGCCTTGGAAAGATTCTGCCCCGCCCCCGTGTAAACCCCTGGCTGCGGTTCTGGGTTCCGTCTCCATGGGACACTCCACCGCCAATCCTCGTGCGGGAATGCTCTTCCTGACCCTTCAATGCACCAATCAGTACTCAGTCGAGCACATCCGGAATTGACTCCACCAATAACATCTCAGGACCTGCTTACTCCATCTCTGATTCTCCAATAACGTTACTGTTCCGGTATAGCCAATCACAAGTGGAACATGTCCTACCTGCTGTTTCTTGCACCAATCTGTGAAGTTTGGGAGCTACATCCAATGAGAACGGCAGGGAATGAGGTCCAATCCGAAGCGCTTGGGCGTCATGAGCAGCCAATGGTAGTTCGTGTAGAAGCGAGTCTGCTCAACAGCTTGTTATTTGGTGAATTGTGGCAGTAAATCGGGGCGAGTGGGGAACCCGGTGCAGGAACTGCCGCCGCGGCCGGGAGCGAGGCTGCCGGGACTAGGGGCCTCGGCTGCCCGAGGGGCGGAGGACGCGAGGGCTGACAGCGCGCACCTCGCCCGCGGACGGTAGGAGAGGAGAGGGCAGGCGGGCGATCTTGAATGGGCGAGGCGGCTGCAGCAGCTGCTCTTGCGCCCGGGGTCCGGGTGCAGTTGGGGCTCCGTGGCGGGGAGCGGGCTGCAGGCTGCAGGGTGCGCGGGGACGGGCGGGCAGGAGCCGCGGTGGTGGCCGCTCCCGGCCCGGAAGATGGCTGAGGAGCTGGCCGTGCCGCCAAGTTTCCTTCAGCAAGGGGATCTTGCGCCCAACTCCGCGGCGCTGTCCGCAGCGGGACCCCGGCCGGGCAGCGCCTCCGCTGCCGCTCCGAGCTTCACAAAAAGTTGAGTGGGGCGGGAGTCCGCGGCCTGGGCGCGTCGCCTCCCCTCCGCTCCCCTCCGATCGGCTGTGCTCCGCACGGGCCCCCGCCCCGCCCCAGACCGGCCCCCGCCACTGCCACCGCCCCCGCCCCCGCCCCGCGGGGTCCCCGCGCGCTCGCGTCCTGGCTGCAGGCCGCCGCCCCTGCTGCTCTCTGCTGACACGGTGCGGGGCAAGGGCGGGCGCAATGGCGCCGTGACACCGAGAGATCGCCGTGGGCCGGCGGCCGGGGCGCCAGGCGGTCGGGACGCGGGGCGGGCTGCTCTCCGTGTGCGTCCAGCTGTCCCCCGCGAGGTCTTCCCCTGGCTCGAGGTGCCGGCCCTTTCCGCGGGCGTTTGTTTACTTTCTCCCCCGGATCGCACCCCGCTGTTGACCTACTGCTTTCTCCTCCCACCCGCGGTTCTAGCGACAGAAAAGAGAACTCGTGGAGCTGGAGCCCCACAGATCCCCGGTGAAAATGAAGGTAAGTGGAGCCCAACTCCGCCAAGCCTCGCGTCCCGGACGTGCTCGCAGCGAGCTTGCTGCTGCGGAGCGGATTGTCATCTTTATTGTTATTCGGCATCGATTTCGGTACAACGGTGCTTTCACAAAACGGGGACAAGGGAATGGAATCCTGTGTCTGAGCGCAGCCACCTCAGCCTAAGGTAGCTGGGAGCACTTCAGAGAGCCGGGACAGCATCTCAGCTTCTGTCCATTAGGCTAGTATTTATAAACACTTCCTGTGTTGGCTGCAACCTTTGCAGAAATAAAGCTTTTGTCTTACTGTGGTCCTTTGGGGGATTTTTTTGAATTTTTTTCTTCCTCATTGTCAATTCGATTTTCTTAGAGAAAGAATACTTAAAAGAGATACTGCCCTACAAACTATAATCTACAATTGTAGTTTTTGAGTAGTTGTACTCTAATAATACTTAGGTTTAATTCACTTTTTGCAATACTTTAAAGTTAATGCATTTATCCAAGATATTTAGATACTATTCAAATATCTAATGCTGTAAACATTCTCTTGTGAATGTTTAAAAGGAAAGGAAAGGAAGTTCTCATCGCGCTGTGAAGTGCATGGCATTGAGTGTTTCTGGCCAATACTTGCCAAATATACTCTTCTATTTGCATGTTTTGTCATGTACTGACTCTAAAGACTGCCTGAGCTGGGCAACCTTTTTTGTTTTTTTGTTTCAGTATGTTACAAGCTCTAAAACACAGCATTTTCCACAAGTTTCTCTTGCCTTCCTATTCTTGAAGTACATCTTGGGAAAGTACTTGGGAAAACTTAGTGGAAAACAAACCATTGTTTTGTACTTAAAAATGGATAGCAAAAGTATACACTGTTACCTTTGTACTTAGTAACGTTGAGCTGCACTTGTGTGTACAAGTAACTTTGGAGAAAAAACAGGTACAGTGGCAGTGAGATGGCAGTCATCCTGTTACTGTTAAGGTTAAAATGAATGACAGAAAGAAATTTCTCCTAATTTTCAATGTATTGTTGTGCTGTGAGCCATTTGCTATAAGTAAATTTCTCTTTGTAAAGCTGTTCTGGTTATGTGGCTGTAGTCTTGAGCCATCATTTCATACCCACATTCTTCAGGTGAATTTGTAGCTTTTAGCCAATAAATTTTTCCAAAAAGCTGACTTAGTTTTTTATCTTTACAAATAAGCTATGCAAAATATTATTTTGATGGGCTATACTAACAATTTTGCATTGTTCGTATGGTTTTTAATAGCAGCATCTTTTAAAACAATTATTTAAAACAATTATTAGGTACAAATGAATAATTTTATGATATATAATAGGATATAATTTTCACCATTTTTCGTAAATTGTACAGCTTTTAAAAGCATTTTATACCTGGAAAAATGTTACTTCCTTTTTCATAACTTCCAATTACAATTTTAAAGCATTTTATGATATGAAGTACTCAGTATATTCACGAAGTCTTGTTAGTAAAGTGCTTTAGGGTTTTTTTTCAAATTATTGATGATATTAATAAGCAGATAATGTTAATGTCCTAATGACTTAACATGGAAGGTTTTCGTGCTACTGGAGGTCGGGTTAGGGAGAAGCAGTGGGAGTTCACTGCTGCTGTCCTGTTTTGTCCTGTCCTGCCCTCCCCTCTCCAGGCGGCCGACGAGCCTGCCTACCTGACTGTGGGCACAGACGTCAGTGCCAAGTACCGAGGCGCCTTCTGTGAGGCAAAGATCAAGACTGTGAAAAGGCTGGTGAAGGTTAAGGTAATAAATATGTTTTTATTTCTTTCCTTAAATACAATAGTTTTATAAAGTAGGTGGAGGGATTGGAGTTTTAGTAACTGTAGGGGGAGACTGCAAGTCAATTTTTTTAACGAATCAGTACTGTGTGAAAGCTTTAATATATACTAAACTTAAGGAAAAATACATAAAAAATTAAAAACAAACCAAAATGAAAAATTTTTCCAAAATGCTTTGTCAGTTTCATGCTCGTATTTCTCCTTCCCTTGCCCCTTCCTGTTTGTGGTAGAATACTTTCTTAGGCTATTAGCTGTTTTCTACCATTTCATAATGTTCAGGTAGAGACAGTTTCAGTAATTAGGAAGAACAATACACTGGGAACCATGTTTTCAAGGCAACAGCAAAAGTGATTCAAGAAATTTATTTTTAAAATCCTTTTATGACCAGAAAAAAGTGAAATAATATATTTGTGTACAGTATTTGAGAATACAGAAAACTCCAGCTGGATTAATACCCACACTGCTCAGAAATACTGATAACAATTTTTGTTTCCTTCCAGTAATTTTTTCTGTGTAAATATGGATTTTAATAATTTTGTTACCTAACAAAAGCAAGCTATGCTTACATAAACATGATAGTGCTACAAAACTTTTGACAGTATAAACTATATAAGATTTGGTTAGTATTTACTAGAATACCTTCAGCAATTTTAACTTTTCTTTTTTGTTTTTTTGGTTCTTATTTATTTTTTGAAGAACCAGGACAATGAATGTTTTTCTTACTAAATTTGACTTATTTGGGTAATTGCTCTGGATATTTGGGAGGACATGAAAGGAGAAAGATCAAGTACTTATTTATACCTGAACCACTTATCATAGTTTTTCAGTCTTAGGGGCCAAAAAAGTTCTGGGTTCAAGCAAACCATAGAGTTTGGTTTGTATGCACATATGTATATATATGTATAACATATATATTTTGTATATAGTTGGTGGTAATCACAATATAACTTAATGATGAAATGTCCAAAAGGCAGTTCTAAACTTTCACAGTAATCACTAGATTATAAATCTATAGTTCCTTCCTTAAGTAAACAGTTAAATGCTTATAACTTCCATGGACACTTGCTGGGGAAAGGGTAATAAGAGAGGGCTGTAGCCCCTCATGGAACTCACACTTAATGAAAGGGACAATGAATGTAAACCTAAGACCATGTAGTAACTGTTACAGCAGAGGTGACCACTGGGTCCTTGGGAAGCATAGGTTAATGACATTATTGTTGCAGTGTCAGTGTAAATGTATTATTTTAAAACGACATGCAGATTACAGTGCATAAATGTTTTTCAGGTACTCCTTAAGCAGGATAATACGACACAGTTGGTACAAGATGACCAAGTCAAGGGTCCTTTAAGAGTAAGTGAAATAAATCAGTCACCAAAGGTTAAATATTGCACAGTTTCTCTAATATGAGAGATTCAAAACATTTGTGAAGTGGTCATGCAACAAGGCGGTGAACTCCGTAGAAATAGGAAGGGACCTGGGGAAAGAAATAGAGTGGAAGAGGTGTGGAGAGGATTGAGGTGAGACATGCAAGTGTATAAGAGCTCCCAGCAGAACATACTCCCTATGTGTCACAGATACACACCAATAAAAGCATTCTAGCTGGGTGTGGTCCAGGCGCACGCCTGTCATCCCAGCACTAAGGAAGTTGAGGCAGGAGGATCACTGGGAGTTCAAGGCCAGCCTAGGTTACATAGTGAATTAAGAGCAACCTGAACTATACAGTGAGACTTTGTCTCAAAAAATAGCAACAATAAAATTGTAAGAATGGGAGTTAGATTGTATAGTTTAAAATCTAAAATAATGAATCCTAGACTCATACTGAAGTTTGCTTTTACATTTGTATGCAATTTTATCAGAATATTTATCAAAGTAAATATACAAACGTGATGTTTGTGTAGTCAGTATAGATTTTATTACAATGATTACATCTTTGGTTTTAGAACATCTGGAGTACTTTAATATATTTAATTATGTTTTCATTTGCCTTTTGTTTTGAATTCTTGAACTCAATACCTTACTTTGGTTTTTACATTGTTGACCTATCTTGGGTGATACCTGCTAAATTGTATAACCAGTGGCATAAACTTTAGTCTTGTTATCCTGATTTGTCAAGTAAGCTGTACTCACTTTGTAGCACACTTTAATAAGTTTCTTATGATTTTTTTAATCCACTTCTAGCTGCTACTTCATGTACTGAATCTTTGTTATGTCAGAGTTCCCCTTCAGTTAAGATCTGGTATACAGAGATCTGAAAAGTGAAAGAATGTCAGTCTGCTATAGCCCTATCTCCAGGTGAACCTTATCTAAAAGGATCCTTAAACATAAGTGCTAAATCCAGTATTCAATGTTTCTATAAAAGAAAATAGAGTCTATTTTAGTTATCTTATGCTTTTGTGTTTTTGTTTTGTTTTGTTTTGTTTGAGACAGATTCTTGCTGTTTAGTTGAGGCTGATGTTGAACCCACTGTGTAGCCCAGGCTGACCTCAAACTCAGCAAACCTCCTGCTTCAGCCTCCTGAGTGCTGGGATTACAGCACCACCACACTCAGAGGTTTTAGAGTTCTTATGTTTAATTTTCTGGACAACAGTGTGATTTAAGATTTCGAAGACTGGACTCGTACCCTGTGCAAATTATTTTAACTTTTCTGAGCCACGATTTTCCATTTGTAAAATAATAAGTACCTTACTTACACCAAAGTGCTTTGTGGCTCAAGTTATGTAATAAAGAACTGAGCTCTAAATGATGATAATCTAAAGCAGAATAGGGCATAAATACCTTTAAAGCTCATTTTTCTTACCTAGTTGTTGTTGGTGGGAATGACTCAGTTTGTTTAAATTTGGTGAAGACTTTTGGGGTTCATGTTTTAGGTTGGAGCAATTGTTGAAACAAGGACACCTGACGGATCCTTTCAAGAAGCCATTATCAGCAAGCTGACTGATGCCAGTTGGTACACCGTGGGTAAGTAGTTGGCCACTGAAACACATGGATTGATTTGGAGGTTGTACATACCCCTATTTGGTGGACACACTGAAGCATTGTGTTGGCAAAGAACCACAAATTCTTTCTTGTCAGCTCACTGGCTAACTTGGCTAAAATTTTAAGGATGCCCTCATGGAAACAAAAACAGATAATATATATATACCGTGTGGTGATGCATGCCAGTAGTACCAGCACTTGGGTGGCTGAGGCAGGAGGGTTGCTAGTAGCTACAGAGGGAGAGCCTGTTGTAAGTGGGGACAATTTCTTATAGGTTTGGTCATTTGTGTCTGTATTTCCCAAAATGTACTTCTGTAAGAAGCAGGATCATACGCTTTACTTCCTTTGAAATTGCAAGTAAGATTGCTTAGATTCTGTGATTGCAGTCTTACATTAAGGTAATGTGGATGTTACAACAAATTTACAGAATTCTGGCCAATGTAAATTCAGACACAAATGACTATAGCTTTTTTTTTTTTTTTTTTTTTTTTTTTTTTGGTACCGGGAATTGAACTCACAACCTCACACTTGCCAGGCAGGCACTTACACTGCTGAGCTAAAGAAAAAGATATATCCTGTTAATGTAAATGAATTGATAACATGCCATGTTTATTTTCATACTGGCTTTAAAATCCATTGAGAAGCAACAAGTGTCAAAATATGTATAAATTAAAACTCCAATATAGTACTTAACTACTTGTTACCATCATGCTGATGAGAATAGAAGTAACTGACATTTCTAAACATCTCAGTACTTTTAAACGACAAGGTCCTATGGATGGCATCCAATATTTGGTTTATACTGGACACCTGTAGCATTGTTTTATAGTGATGTCCCCGTATGAATGATATGTGTAATTAGGGTGTTGTAATCTTGTCAGAGGAAAGGAATGACCTGCTAGGTTTACTTTTAGTGCGCTTGATTAATTGTTTTGAGTGGAAACCGTTTATGACCAGTTGATGCTTAAGGATATGAGGATGTAGTTTGGTTTAAAACCGTGTGTTCTGTGTCTACTCTTTGCCCTTTTTTTGTAGTAACAATCTAGCTGCTTTTTTCTACCCCCTTTTTTTCCTTCTGAGACCTAGAAGAAGTTGTTGGTTTACAGTGGTACCATTATTCTGAACGTGTTTTTAATAATCTTAGTTGGCTGGCAAGTTGCTAGATATTATAAAACTAAGCTTAGTGTTAACCATTGGTAGAGATTGATCTGATTTTGCTCTGCTAGGCAAATTACAGGAGTGAGCGAAGTGTGGTGGTGCATACTCACAACCCCATCACTCATGAGACTGAGGCAGGATTGCTGGGAATTCCAGGCTATCCTGACCTACATAGCGAGACCCTAAACTTAAAATAAGAAAAATAAGGAAAAATAATTATTGGAGAGGATCTGTGTAGAGTCATATGAAATTAAATGATGTATATTTAAAAACTCATGTGCCTGCTATATGGTACTTATTATCAAGGCACTTGTTTTACTCATGAAGCTTTATTGATGTGTTTCGCTCATATTATGGGGAAGCAGTGGTTCACAGTCTGGATTTCTGTGTCCCAGAATAATCATTTAATGATGAAAAATGATCTGTGTTCTCCATACAAATGGTATTTTAGCATTTCTGAAAGCCACTTGCTACTGAGCAATCTCTGTGGTACATCTCCATGTTGGGTGATTACAGAAGAAATTGCATGATTCTTATTCTCAAACTACTTAGAGTCTAAATTGTTCGTAATTGAGGTATTGCATATTAGCGTATATAAAAATCAGCTTGCTTGCTTTGAAAATTGAGTGTCTGAGGACCCAAACCTGTCTCAGTCAGTCTGGCTGGGGATGGGAATAAAGAAGCTCTTTAGACAGTTCTGATACAAGTTGTACACACTTCGAGCAACAGACTGCACAGGGAAGACAAGACTCATTTGGGAGAAAAGTTTTAAAATAGCAAGAAGGTTGGGATAGGGATGGTAGTAATGCTTATAATGCCAACTACTTGGGAGGCTGAGGCTGGAGCATCACAAGTTCATTGCTTTCTGAACTACTTAGTGAGACCCTGGCTTAAATAACATAAAGTAAAAAATGCTGGGGATGTAGTTCAGTCCTAGACTCTTGCCTTGAGTGGTTCTGGATTCAGTCACTAATATTGCAAGTCAAAAAAGTGCAACTTGATGGCGAATGCTTTCCTAGCATGCACAAGGCACTGGATTGGCTGTTAAAAAAAAAAAGTGTTAAATACTTTTATAATTGTGTGTACAAATGACATGGTTTGGCCAAAACTGAAGATTTTTAGAGGCACTGACCGCTTTTGTGTATGCAGTGTCTCCCTCTCCTGTCACATTTATGAATCGATGGGTGTGGTGGGCGAAAGAAGGACCACAGTACAACAGACTTATAATGACAGTTCAAAAGGGTAACAGGTGTACGTGTGCTCTACAATTTGTGAAAGTTAGAGTCTTCTTTTATTGAGCGCTTACTACTCGCGTGGTTTAATTGTTCTTTTCTAGAACTTTTTTTCATTTCTAACTCTTGGTAAAATATTATAGGTGGAATATTATAGGAGGCCTTTAAAGGCCTCCGTGATCTTATTTGATTTCATGAGATCCCTAAAGTTATATTGTCATAGTAAAAATACAACAGAAGGGCCAAGAATATGGCTCAGTGGCACAGCACCTGCCTGGCAGGTGAGAGGTCCTGAGTTTGATTCCTGGTACCAAAAAATAAAATAAAATGAAAACAGAAGAAGATATGGCATTGCTGGTCTGGATCAAGTAATAGTTGTGATCATTAATGATATAAAGTTATATTTAGAGTTACTGATCTCACATTTCTTGTCTAATGCATTACTTTTCTGTTTAGCTGAACATCCTGTTTAAAATTGATTATAAAGGGCCGGGGATTTAGCTCAGTGGCGCAAATGCCTGCCTGGCAAGCACAAGGTCATGAGTTTGATCCCTGATACCAAAAAAAACCTAACTGAAAGAGATTATGGCTCTATTATGATTTAGTTTTTGTTTTGTTTTTTGGCACCAGGAATTCAACTGACGACTTCACACATTCATGATTTAGTTTTTAAAAATTTAAAATCTAGTAACACTTTACCTTCCTGTGTCAAACAAATAGCCATAGCATGTAGGGACTTTTTATATTTTGAGGTATTAAAAATATTTTCTCTATTATGCAACAGTGCTACATTAGTTTATTGATTTGACACTTTTGATTGTTGAATTAAATTGAAATGCATGGAACTGGGTACTGTCCAATCATTCAAAAGGTGTTAAAATCGAGGTAAGAATTAGTATCTCCATTTGAATATTTTCATTAATACCTACTAAATACAAATTGTTAACGAGACACCTTGAACATATTCTTCTGGTTTTTATATTATAAAAATAGCGCAATGCATTGGCAAAATAAGGAAAATATGAAAGAAAAACTGTTGACAATCCACATACATCATATTTAAAATTTAATAGCAAAGTCTATTCTACCATTTATATTAATTTTTTATAGTTGTTTTTGTGACAAGGTCCTGCCATGTAGTTCAGGTTGCCCTTGAACTCACTTGTGTTGCCCAGACTGGCTTCAAACTCAAGGCAACCTTCCTGCCTCAGCCTTCTGAGTCTTGGGATTACAAGCATGTGCTACCACACTCAGCTCAATATTAATATTTTTACAACAAGAAGTACTTTTTTGATTCAGACTCATGCCTTGTAGTTATTGTTATGAACATTTGTTGTATTTGATTACCTGGAATTGTTTTAGTAGAGTACTGTGCAGAGAAAATTTAGATTTGGTTAGTGGATTGACTGAATTTTGTAGGATGTGCTATAAACTTAGAAGGCTTTTCCTTTAGTCAGACTGTCTTAGGACAAATGTTGTTATAACAAAAATCACAAAATGTTTTCAAAACCAGGTGGCAATTCTACTGACTAGAAAATCATTTAAGAAAACAATACTGCACATGAAAGAAATCTGCTCACTTCTGTGGTAGGTTTAAAGACATTGTTTCCATAAGATTTAATGTTCTTCAAATGTTAATAACATATTTTAAGGTTAATTCCTTAAATTTCCAGATTGCTGAAGTTTTTGACCTTAGCTACTGAGGAACCTCCCCAGATATCATAGATGATTCTATCAGCTATGATCTGTTAGAGCTAAAGCAGTCTTGCACAGAAAGAACAAAGCTGAAGACATACTGTTGACTTCAGAATATTCTGCAAAACTATGGCTATTAAAACAGCACGGTCTAGGGAGCTGGGGATTTAGCTCAGCGGCATAAGCGCCTGCCTTGCAAGCAGGCAGTCGTGAGTTCGATCCCTGGTACCAATAAAAATGAAAAAGACCAAAAAAAAAAAAAAAACAAAAAAACCCAGCATGGTCTGGTGTAAAACTATTCACATGGACCACTGCAATGGAATGGAGAACCTGGAGGTACATCCATGAGTTGATTTTGGATGACGGTGCTGTGAGCACACACTTGTTGATGGGACAGTGTCTTTAGTCAGAGATGTTTAGGAAAATGGATAACCATATGAGTAAGAATAGGTTAGAGCCTCGTCAGAGACCTACAAACACCAACTGAAAATGGTAGAGACTTAAACGTGAGGCTTGAAAGTGCCACAGTATTTTCCTGGGTAGTGATTTTTCTTTTTAAGAAAAGACCTCAGAAGCGCAGTGCTGTGGTTTGAGTGGTTTGTCCCCCGAGGTCAACTGTGTTGAACCATGTGGTCCTGGTGTAGGAATGCGAGATGTGGGGACCTGTGTGAGGTAGGGACTGGTGTCAGGTGTTCCAGTCAGTGAGGGTGCTGCCCTCAGCTGGGGACTAAGGAGTCAGTGTTGTGACTAATGACTGTCCAGCACTCCAGAAGCCTCGATAGGAGCATCACAGTTCCACCCTAGGTAGACAGCTTAGTGACTTAGCAAGACTCTGTTCTTAATAACAGGTAGATAGGTGAGTGGGTGGGCGGGTGGGTGGAGAGGGCTGGGCAGGGA